TTTGTCCTTTGCAGGACACGATTCACCAGCTGGAAAACGAGCTCAGAGGAACCAAGTGGGAAATGGCCCGGCACTTGAGGGAATACCAGGACCTCCTCAATGTCAAGATGGCCCTGGATATCGAAATCGCTGCGTACAGGTATGGCGGGATAACCGCAGACACGCCTGGAATATTAATAGCACTGCGGATGCCGCCGGGCTGGGGAAGCTTCAGCACAGCTCGCAAAGATCCGCAGGCGGCCAGAGCGGGTAAAATTAGAGCTCGGCTGCATCACTGCAGCCACCCCCATCCCCCCAGAGCCCCGAAGGTCATTAGGGAGCCGCTAATCAGCGGCAGAGCTGCCAGCAAAGCCCCGTGGGCACAGGGCAGCGTGACTCAGTGCGGCTCCCGTGCCGCATTCCGAGCAGGGAGGCGATGCGGCGACAGACGCGTTTATTTTTTTTCCTCGCCGTCAGCTTTGCAGATGCCAGCCGTGACACCAGAATTCCCTTTCATCGCCCGCGAGGGGCGGCGRATTTGCTTGATCACGGTTTGAGGCGGCGAGCGAGCGCTGATGCGCCTGTCACAAACACTTTTGCTTTTCTTGCTCAACTTTTTTTCCTTCCTTGCTCGAGTGTGGAGCCGAAGTGCTGCTTGCTGTTGCCATCACCTGGCAGGTTTTTTTAGTCTCCTTTGTGTGTCTCTCACACCAGAGAGCTGCTGATTTTTCTGGGTCATGGGCTTAGATGAAAAACATTCGGATAGAAGAAAAGTTAAAAAAAAAAATTAAAAAAAAAACCACACCCATCTCCAGATCTGTTGAAATTCCCGAGGTTTTTCAGACTCACAGACACCCCGGGGGCTGTAGATGGCTGCTGCCTCAGCCAGCTGAAGCCTCCAGTTCTCATTTTTTCACCMAAAAACAAGCTGGATGCCCAAATTATCGAATTAGGACCCGTGCTTTAATCAGCTGTGACTGTCTCAGCCACAATATTTGATTTGGGTTCGTTGGCTGTGTCAAGCTCTGTTTGCCTAAGCGGTAATGAGTCCTAGGAAGTTAATTAGCTTGTCCTAATCCCCGCTGATTTTCCCCGCCATAATGAAGTTTTCTGACTTCAAGGATGAGTTTTATCCGATCGCTGAAGGTCTCGCTCCCGCCACGAGCAAACGGAGCTCAAAAATGCTGAATTTTGTGGGTTTTGCAATAAAAAAAGGGATCCAAGGAAAGCTGGGCTGGGGCTGTGGGCAGTGGAAGGCACTGGTCAGTTCCAGCACATTCCACAGGCAAACCGGTTCCATCCTGCTGGAGGGGGAGTATGAGAGCAGGGAAATATTATGGGATTTTATATAAAAATGTAGGAAATATCCTGAAATTCTTTGAGTTGGAAGAGATCTTAAAGGTCATCCCAAAGCAGCAACACTTTAAATTATCCCAGAATGCTCCAAGCCATGTCCAGCCTGACCTTGATCACTTCCAGGGATGAAATTTTTATAATTTTCCCTCATTTTTGGGTATTTTTACGCTCATTTTCTCTTTTTCCCTCCTCCCGATTCCCCTCAGGAAGCTGCTGGAGGGTGAAGAGACAAGATTCAGTGCCTTCTCCGGAAGCATCACCGGTCCCATCTTCACACACAGACAACCATCCGTCACAATAGCCTCCACCAAAATCCAGAAAACCAAAATCGAACCGCCAAAGCTGAAGGTCCAGCACAAGTTCGTAGAAGAAATCATCGAAGAGACGAAGGTGGAGGACGAAAAATCTGAAATGGAAGATGCCCTGACGGCCATCGCGGAAGAAATGGCAGCCAAGGCGGAGCAGGAGGARGAAAAAGAGGAAGAAGAGGSTGCAGAGGAGGAAGGTGAAGCTGAGAAGGCTCCTGAGGAGGAAGAGAAGGAGGAAGAGGAAGCRGAGGAGGAAGAGGAAGCGGCGAAATCCGACGCCGCGGAAGAAGGTGGCTCTGAAAAGGAAGAAATTGAGGAAAAGGAAGAAGGGGAGGAGGCTGAGGAAGAGGAGGAAAAACCCGAGGTGAAGGGCAAAGCTGAGGAGGCGCCAGCAAAGGTAGAGAAGGTCAAAACACCCCCGTCAAAGTCCCCCCCGAAATCACCCCCGAAATCCCCCGTAACAGAACCGGCCAAGGCCGCCCCTAAAGAAAAACCCACGGAGAAGGCGGCCAAGGAGGAGAAAGTGGAAAAGGCGGCCAAGGAGGAGGAGAAAGCGGCATCCCCGGAAAAACCGGCCACACCMAARGTGAYMTCYCCAGAAAAACCMACCACGCCAAAGGTGACCTCCCCAGAAAAACCGGCCACACCCAAAGTGACCTCCCCGGAAAAACCAGCCACGCCAAAGGTGACCTCCCCGGAAAAACCACCGGAGAAGGCGGTGACCCCGGAGAAGGCGGCGAGCCCGGAAAAAGCCGTGAGCCTGGAGAAGCTGGCGCCGCCGGAGAAAGCGCGCACCCCCGAAAAACCGGCGAGCCCCGAGAAACCGCGCACCCCCGAGAAGGCCGTGACCCCCGAGAAGGCGCGGACCCCCGAAAAACCGCCGTCCCCCGTGAAGGACGCCAAGGCCGTGGTGGAGGAGACCATCACCGTCACCAAGGTGACCAAAGTGAGCGCCGAGGCCGAGAAGGAGTCGAGGAAAGAGGACATCGCGGTCAACGGGGAGGTGGAGGACAAGAAGGAYGAGGAATCCAAAGAGAAGGAGGAGGAGGACAAGGGAGTGGTGACCAACGGCCTCGACGTGAGCCCGGTGGACGACAAGGCGGAGAAAATCGTGGTGACCAAAAAAACGGAGAAAATCACGGGCGAGGGCGGCGACGGCGGGCCCACGTTCATCACCAAGTCGGTGACCGTCACCCAGAAGGTGGAGGAGCACGAGGAGAGCTTCGAGGAGAAGCTGGTGTCCACCAAGAAAGTGGAGAAAGTCACCTCGCACGCCGTGGTGAAGGAGATCAAGGAGAGCGAGTAAACGCTGCCGTAGCTAAAAAAAAAAAAAAAAATTCCAAACGATTTCCAAGAGCTTGGGTCGGTGCAAAAGGTTAAGCCATAGACAGCTGCAAAATGCATGGGGGTGACGGCTTCAAAGCAGGTCGGGTTCTCTCACGGAGGCTCCAGACACACAGTATTTTACTTTTTTCGTGCAATATAGGGAAAAGGGGGGGGGAATGCATGCAGGCTCAAGATGTACTCCCTCCACAGAGCTTGGGGATCTACCGAAAATTTAAAAAAAAAATAAAAATAAAATAAAAATAAAAGTTAATTTAAAAAATACTGCTACTACTAGTGCATGAGAATGAAATGTGCAAGAGGAAGCTTCTCTGAATTTCCTGAGCTTGTTGGAGGGACGGAGCCGAGGAACGAGTTCCGATGTCATTATGCAAAGAAACCAACTGAGC